ACTCATGAGGCCTAGGCAGGAGAATGGCCATAAGTTCAAGGCCAGCTTGACTACAAAGTGAGTTCCAGGTCACCCAGAACTATAGTAAGACTTTAAGTCGGGGGAAAAAAAAAAAAAAAAAAAAAAAAAAAAAAAAAAAAAAAAGAAAGAAAAAGAAAAATCAAAACAATAACAAAAAAAGGAAGAAGGAAACACAAAAAGTCCATCATCTATTTTTTTATAGAAGTACCAGTGACTACAATTTGACTTTTCCTGCATCTCTAAATTTCGATTTCCTGCATCTCTAAATTTTACATAGGCTTTCCCAGCTTTTTTAAGAAAAATGTAATTGCCTACAATAATGCTGTATTTAAGCTATTCCCTCTCATTTCTTAGAAAAGCAGATTATCTTGACTTTGCTCCACATAATGAAGTAATAAACAGCCTGTGCTATATGACAGAGGGGCGTAAGTGTGTTTATTTTAAATGTCTTCCTAGCAGGAAGACCCTTCACGTGTTCATGCATGAAGGATGAATGCAGTGGGAGCAGACTGTGCGGCTGTCATTTGAGATGTCCAAACGTCTCCAGGAATAGCAGCAGGCCAGTGGGGGTGTTCCACCTGCCTGTCTCCAGCCTGTTGGCTTCGCAGTGGTTCAGCACAGTTCATCCACAGCACATTCACTGTGGCTGTCTGTTAGCACAGAGTTTGGAAGCCTCCTTCCTAAAAAAGGGGAAGGCTGTTCCCTGTATGTGCCGAAGCCTGACTTTTGCAGAAGAAGGAGTTTCTTTATTAACCTCACAAACTGTTTCTTATGAGAAGGGTGTTAAATTCAAAAAAGAAAACTCTCTTGGTTATATAATGTGTTAGACAAATCATGTGTATTATTTTAGACAGCTATGCAGAAATGGTGCTTTTCTGAAAAGAAAATCTCAGCCAATGGATGAGCATGGAGGGTGCAGCTGAAATATGACAAACAGCTCATACAATGTGTAGTTCAAGGGTGGCAACAGAAAGAATGTGCTTTCGGGCACTTTCGCCTCCTGTTGCCTTGGTTATCAGTGTCCTCTGCTGGCTCAGTGTTTTTCTTTTTGTTTTTTTTATTTTGTTTGGTTTTGTTTTCTTTGTTTGTTTTGTTTGTTTGTTTTTTTTTTCAAGACAGGCTTTTTCTGTGTAGCTTTGGTGCTTATCCTGGATCCCATTTGGTAGACCAGGCTGGCCTCGAACTCACAGAGATCCCCCTGGCTCTGCCTCCCAAGTGCTGGGATTAAAGGCGTGCGCCACCACTGCCCGGCTGCTTGTTTGTTTTTTTCCCACAACATCTTTATTTCATTTTCTCTGCCAAGTCAAATTATCAGTTATGACTGTTTCCTCTAAAGGATTTTTCTCCCTTAGCAACTGGCTGAGCAGAGTAGCCTATTCCATATGAGTTCTGAGGAATGATAACTGAAATTGACTCATTTAAACAAAAAAAATCGATATTTCAAATTTTGTGGGTGTGTGTTTTGTGAGCAAGAAGCATCCAAGATTACAAAAGCTGAGAATTTTGCTGTTCTGGAAGTCTATCTCAAGATCCAGGTTCCAGTATAAGACAGTCTGACAGGCATCTTGGGCCATGTATCTCCAGTTAATGGGGAAACGGGAAAAGGAAGTTGGTTTTGTTTGTTTTTTAATTTTAAAAAATTTACTTTGTAAACCAGGCATGGTGGTGCATGCCTTTAATCCCAGTACTCAGGAGGCAGAGGCAGGCAGATCTCTGAGTTTGAGGCCAGCTTGGTCTACAGAGTGAGTTCCAGGACAGCCAGGGCTACACAGAGAAACCCTGTCCCAATAAAAAACAAATTACATTTGTGTTTCTCTCCCACTTCCCCCAGTGTGTGTGTGTGTGTGTGTGTGTGTGTGTGTGTGTGTGTGTGTGTGTGTGTGTGTTTCACGTGCAGGTGAGGGTCAGAGGAGAACTTGGTAGAGTCACTTGTTGCCTATTATGTGGGAGCTGGGGGCTTTACCTGCTAAGCCATCTCACTGGCCCCAAAAGGCAGTTTTTTGAAAGCAGAATCTGGGTCCTGCTGGCGAAGGAGGAGGGCTACTATTTCTTTCTGCACAAAGTTGTGCTTATGGGTTGGTGCCTGGATCCACAGGCAGTACTGCTGAGCCCACGTAAGTAGAGAGCAGGTCACCATTGAGTTTCACAGAAACTACCATACTGTTCGGTGCTGGGCAGAAACAACCCCACTGGGCTGTCTTTAGGAGGTGAGCTGTGGATTCAAAGGTATACCAAGTGAGTTTGTAAATAGACTTCATATATGTCCTGAAGGATGCTGACCTAATATCCAACTTACTCTCGGAAGCACTGAGCATTAAGGTGTGGGGAAATGCCTCTTGTATCCTGGCAATTGGCCCCATGATTTAAGATGGTGTGTGCATCCTGACAGAATAAGAGCCTGCCTGCTGTGGGATGGTCTTTCTGGATGCTGTGAATATGTGTTGCTACCATTGGTTAATGAAGAAGCTGCTCTGGCCTATGGCAAGAGGTTATAGCCAGGCAGGAAATCCAAGAGAGATACAGGGAGAAGAAAGGCAGAGTTGAGCAGAAGTCATCCAGCCACCCAAGGAACAAGATGCCAGCAGACCAGTAATGACATGGCCACGTGGCAAAAGCATGGATTAATAGAAATGAGTTAATGTGAGATGTAAGAGCTATCTAGCAATAAGCCTGAGCCATAGACCAAACAGTTTGTAATTAATATCAAGCCTCTGAGTGATTATTTTATAAGCAGCTGTGGGGCCAGGTGGGACCCAGAAAACAGTTTCAGTTACACCTGCCTGACTTTGTTCTGTATGTTTTGGATTTGAGACTTCCTGAGAGAAGGAGCCAGATGTATACATCTTGATTCTTAGTAGAGCCAGGTGATTTATGCTGTTCAAGGTAAAACTTTTATCAGTCTTCAAAGCATTTAGCACATACTCAATTCTGTTGCTTTCAAACTCATCTGAAGTGATGCTAGATGGCTCTCTCACTGAGAGCTGCTTGTGCCGAGAAGGCAGTGTTGTCTAAAGGTGGCATTCACCTGGCATGTGATGAGGGCAATTCTAGGTGTAGGGTGTGTCAGCTCTGGGCCTTGAGTCTGTCTTCGTCAGCATCATCTCGCCTTGCATAAGAGTTGGAATTACAGGGGTTGAAGAGATGGCTCAGTGGTTAAGAGCATTGGATGCTCTTCCAGAGAACCCAGATTCAACTCCGAGCACCCACATGGCAGCTCCTAACTGTAACTCCAGTTCTAGGGGATCTGATGCACTCCCCTCATCTCCATAGGCACCAGGCACTTATACACATAAGATAATAAAATAGAATTGGAACTGCATTTGGAGAACTTAGCTGAATTGCTCAAGGCCACCAAAAGGCAATAACGTGACATATTCACATTGAGCTCTGCAGTCACCCTCCCTCTATCCTTGTGTGCACAATCTTTGATGTACTTCAGGGTGACTTTGGAAATAAACCTGGGATAGGACCCTGTCTTAGGGTTTCTATGAAGACACACTATGACACAGTAATTCTTATGAAGAAAGCATTTAATTGAGGTGGCAGCTTACAGTTCAAAGGTTCAGTCCATTATGGCGGGGAGCATGGCGTGTGCATGAAGACACGGTGCTGGTTACATCTTAATCAGAAGACATCAGGAAGTAAACTGTGACACCGGGCAGTATCTTGAGCATAGGAAACCTCAGAGCCCACCTCCACAGTGACACACTTCCTCCAACAGGACCACACCTACTCCAACAAGGCCACACCTCCTAATAGTGCCTCTCTCTCTGAGTTGATGGGAGCCAATACATCCAGACTATCTCAGACCCTGAGCTTTCATGCTTTGAAGAAATCAATTCCTGCCTTTGTTTACAAGAGAGAACTTAAGCACCTGTTTTGTCACTGAAAAGTTCCCCAACATTGTAAGCCTTACAGCAGGCCTTTCTAGAAACATCGTTCCCAAATACCAGCAACATATCATATTCTGTTTGTAAATGCCCACTGTAGATATTTTAACATAGCAGCAATTAAGTATGTGGGTTTAGTATTTGGAAGACACGTGTATCCCATACTGGTCCTTGGTCTCACTATATAGCTGAGGATGACCTTGAACTTGTTAAACCTTATCAACTAGTCCTGTCTGTTAGTTTAAAGGAAAAACAAACACAACAACCTAGCTTGAGGTTTCTCTCAAATATTATTAAAGGACCAGCCTTAATAATAATCTTCCCAGGGACCCAGAAGAGAAACTACGAATTTTGAGAATTATTTTCGGGAAGTGAATCTAAATACACCAAGTGTTGGAGCCTGCCGACAGTCAGCTGGGTAGCTGGGTAGAGGCCTTTGGATTGAAGAGACAATGAAGGAGACAGAAAAGAGTCCAGAGATCTGCCGGTCAATGCCGGACAGCCCGAGTTTATTTCACAGCCAGCTTACGTACAGCCTTGAAGGACAGAGGTAGAACAATGCACAGCACAGGCATTCAACCGCTATCTATCCCGTCCTTGCGCCAAGGAGCAGGCAGTTTCATTTTCTGTCTCGATGTACTTCTGGCTGGTGTCAGCAGCCTGCATCTAGCTAGATGGTGTGTTCCTTCCTGTGGGCTAATCAAAACTTTCTCACAGATTAAACAAGTCTGAACTCTATTGATTCAGAATAGACTTCAGATTCAAACTGGGAAACTGAGTCAGTTGTGGGCTCCCACAACCAAGCTCTTTGGCTGTTGACTTTATTCCTCAGAGATAAAATCCTGTTTACACAGCTTCAGTTCTGTTCTCGTGCCTAGCTCCTTTCTTGCCTGATTTCT